CCCCCCCCCCCCCCAATGTTGATGTCTTCACGACGTCCCTGACTATATGCAAAGGAAAAACTGAAGCACAAATTCTTCATTAAAATAAAGAAACATTACTGCCTTTTTTAAAGATATTTGATCATCGTTCAAACGTTTTTGTTGATCGACTTACCCTCGTTCAATCAAGAGATATTTATATTCAGCCATGCGATTCTTTGAAGTGACGTAACATTCATTTAACTTGATTCCAAAAGGTGACTTTTCCGAACTCGACTTTGTCGCTTTCAGTCCGATCTCAATATAAAGACGTTCGTTCAGTGATGGATCTCCAACAAGTGATTTATTAAACGACTGATCTTTATAAAGCCCCATTTTTACCGACATGTTACCTTTTCCACCTCCATCGTTTGGTGAGACGGAAAAATTGGCGAGACCAAACATTGCGGATGAGAGTAGATAACTTTGAGGATAATTACATTTGAAAGGAAAATTGATTTCTTTAGATCTTGAAACGGATTGATTAAATGCTGGCAATCTTTCAACTACTTTGTTATGAAATGAGACTGTTTTCCCACCATGTTCTGATGTCATAGTTGTACCACATGCAGTGAGTGAAGTAGTGAAGAGGTAATAGAACTTCGTCTCCAGAGGTTTGCATAAACTGTCGAGTAGTTGTACTTGCGAGGTTGTAGCAACGTTGAGAAGTGATTTCCTAACATATATCGTCATTTTGTTATCGCCACAGAACAAATGATCTAGATAATGCAAAATGTAACGTATGTTCTTAGTGGATAACTTATTGCACGGCACACGACTGTTCAATAATCTACAATCAACTACGTAGCATCCGCGAATCTAAAATAAACGGGTTGTAATTCGAAATCACAGTTTTCCAGCATTGGAACCAATTGCCTGCAAAACGTTGTCTGCATGAATGTTGAAATTATTCCCATTTTGGATTCAAATTTAATAGCAAGGCACTGTTCAGCGTTAAGGTGGCTCCCTACAGTTTTAGGTCTGTGTCGCAGAAATTTTGTCCACGCGCGAGATTAGTAGCGCTACACGCAACACGCGTGGTCGACGTTGCACGCGTGGCAGATTTTCTAAAATTGCGTCGTTATATGCACGCGCGGGCCTTCGTGAGATTGTCGGCTGGTCGAGCGAGGAAATTGAAATCCTGATTTTTGTGACGTCACATAGATAAAAATAAACGTATTTGTCTCGTGTGTCCTTCGGTAAAATTTTTTAAAATTTCACACACTTTCCTGCGGTAATCTTGAAGTGCGTAAAATGTGCAAGTCTTTTTATTCCAAAAAAGGGCTTTTTGAGGATTAAAAAAAAATTCCCGTACGATTTTTTTTAAATACTATCATTTGAAGGAATCATAGATAAGATTACTGTGTGCAAAAAATTAAAAAGTTTTACCGAAGAAATTTTCAAAAAATTATCAAAGAATCTGCAAATCGGCCCTTTTTAAAATCGCTTTGTTACCATGGCAATGTGAATTTTCAACGACATTTTTTATTTTTCGTAATTCGCGATATTGTAGCAGTTATGTGGCCAAGTTTCGTGATCATACTTTGCAAGATGATAAAATAATGTTTTTTTAATACAACTATGTGTTGTACAATCAAAACTGTAGGAAACCACCTTAAGTGGCTGCCCCTGTAGAAGTAAGCACATTTATGGTAAATAACATCGCCTGATATGATCATATATAAGGTTGTTTTAGTGAAAGGGCGTCAAAAATATCAAATCTTTAAGAGGCTGTCTCTACAAAAACGGACCGATCAAAATCTCATTAAAAACAAATTTCGCTTGCATTTTACAGGAAAGTACAAAAATGTGTCTACATTAACGAATTCGTATCGGTTTTTCAAATTTCTTGACTCTTCACGAGATTTTATGGTGTATGTATCAACCACCGAGCACGTCAAAATGGCGGCCATTTTCCGTACGCAAGTTGTTCAATTTAGGCAGTCGATTACTTACACTTCACAGAAAGCCAAAAACAAATTACTACTCAAAGTTTACGTACTTACGTACCTTGTATAAAAAAATAATTGAAAGAATAAACATTTCTCCAGATTTTGCACGTTGGGCAAATCTTAAATTTGCCTATTTCGAACAATAACAGCAATCACCAAAAGTACAGTCAAGACGACGGCGGTTTTTGCTAAAGTGAGGTTCGTAAAAATAATACATTCTATACTGGGTCAAAGTTTAAGACATGTTTTACTGAGATCAAGCGAAAAATGTTTTGGTCTAACATGCTTACAAGTATATTTGGCTCTTTAAATAATAGTAAATTTGAATATGTGACGTAATCTGCTTCGTTTTAAACACGGATCGCTCAGGCGCTTAAAAATGCAAAATCTTACCTTATCTGCCCATAACTTCTTGAATTTCTACAAGCTCATTTTTTTCAATCCAAAACTACGGATATGCGTTGTAACGAGGAAAGATAAATGAATGATACGTCGTTAAACTCACGCCAAATGTTCCCTAATGTTAAAATAATTACGTCCTCCGCGGCTTTGGACTGTCGACTGATCGTGATTTTTGGAAGGTCTGTTCTTGATAGGCAAATAGTATTTTATAACACAGTTATAGTGCTTATAGTTTCTCAGAAGCACCATACAGCAAATCCTTATCTATGTACTCTTATTTCAACTGACAGTGAAGATAGAAGTAGAAATACATTTTATGCCTTATTCTCAAATTTGTTGTTGACGTTTTGGTATATACTTCATGTAACTCCCACTGAAAAATGTCAAACGAGCACAGAGTCATAGAGACAGAGTTCTGAGTACATCCGTAGCTCAGACACATAACAAAACAATTTCAGCTCTTTACAATAATTGTAAAGAGCTGGAATTGTTTTGTGAATATGTAGTTACAGTATCGAGATTGCATGGAAATCAACTTGCTATTGAGATACACTTCATTGATCGTCTAGGAAAAGTTAGTTTTTCCACAATTGTCTTCAAGTTTGTTTAATCACTACCCATTAAATGGTCCCAAAGATATAAATTATAGACAACCATACAG